AATGCTGAAAATAAGTCATAATGTATTGCAAATTCTTAGGAAGTATCATAACATTTCAAAATTAGAAGTGTAATTAGTACCATTTTCTCCCTGTAAAATTCTCAGTTTTGTGTCATACTGTACTAATGCCTGTTTCCTCTGATTTTTTCTTACTCCATAAGTTCATAATGAAAGGAAACATACAATTTTGCACCAACGACAATGTAAAATTCAAATATTGATGCTGTCACCCAAATGAGATTATTAGTGTGTTCTTAGATTAGAAGAACTGATTTATATAAAATGTACATACCTTACTTTTAATTGACTTGTAAATCTTGGCAGGAAAGAAAAACAAATAGAAAAGACTATCCATTTGGATAGTCTTGGAAACAGAAGAAAGTGTTTAAGAAAAGCAAAAAGAATCTCATTCAGCTGTTTCAGCATGCAAATAAATGCCTCCCCAAAGATAATGGCTAAAAATTTCATGAGGTTTTGAGAAGGAAGTTTCTTTGGGACTTTTCAGCATATATTTGGCTCATGTGCTTAATATTCTTTGATAAGCCTGGAAATCTAATGATTGCAAAGTAAACAAGGAAGCAAAAATAAAATAAAAGTTTTGAGTCCTGGTGGTTTAGGCATAAAACGGTAGGGAAATCTGGAGGAGCTGCACTGTTTATCAACCTGATGTGGGACATGATTTGTCTTAATAGTCAACATTACTTTCACAGAGTGGAGAATCCTGCGGCACGCTAACAGAATCATGACGTACATCACCACACACTTTGCAAGTGCTGAAAATCAACATTGTTCTCTTTCCACTCCATTTTTGGGAGTGGTATATTGATATATGATATCTCCCTCCTCCAATTCTTCTTCTTCTTCTTCTTTTTCTTCAGGGAAGGAAGAAAGTAAAAATACTCTTCCAAAGCCTGTCAGATAAAAAATCTGCTTTATAGATGTTTGTGCATTGTTTACTATCCTTTAGTGTGTGAGATTAATAGGGTAGGAAGGAGACTTCTACTTTGGGTTAACTTTGTTTCTGATTAGTAATGAATATCTACTTTGATTTTTTTTTTTTAAGGAGAACTAGTGGATCAAGTAGTCGACTTATATGATTTTGTTTTACCATCTGAGTGTTTTGCTCTGAAGCTTTACTTTGTTCCTTTATTCTTCTCATTCCACTGAATAGCATAATGCTTCACTTGGTAGAAAGGGAAAGATGTATTTAAATGAAAATGTCTGCAAACATTCAGCTTGCCGTTGAATTATGAAAAAGAATAACAAATGAAATGAAAGTTCAACTGTTCTATTTAGTAGGGTGTGCATCTTAAGACGAGGCAGATTAGACTGGACAATGTTGTTCTTGCTTTACTATTGTTTCTCTTGTTACTTTCATTATAAAAAAGTAACAGAAGCTTTGATATGTTAACTTGTTGTATTGTGGTTTTTTTTGACTTAAGAAGTCTTAATCCTCAGTTTCTATGGGATAGTTCAGAAGTTAATTCTACTAAATTTTGAAGCTGAAGTTTGTCATGTTCATGTTCATTTTGAAAGCAATTCAGTACTTGAGAACTTGACCCAGTCTCATTGCTAGGTTGCATAAATGTCATATTTAAAGTCTGATAGGAATCTATTTTGATATGTGCAAAGTTATACAAATCAATTGCTTATTTTCCTACTTAGCACTACATTTTTTTTCCTTCTATTTATCTAAAAAGAAAGAAAATGTACTTCCTCCTCCAAACAGCTGGAACTGGTATAGGATTTCTCAAGCACTGTGAGGTTTATCACTTTATCATTGGCTTTGAATACAAGAATATGAAATGGAATCTTAATTTTTAATGTCCCTTCACGTTAAATATGATCTATGGAAAACTGTGCAGTGAAGTAATGTTTGAGTGGACTGTTTTCTAGGTGTGCGTGCTATGCGAATGTTACTTTTGTTTCCAAGCTATGATGGAGTATTATTTCTGAAAGACCTGGGACTTTTAGTTTAATAGTTGGTACACAGGGAATTAAACAGCAGGCAAAAAGGAAATATTACAAAACTGTTTCATTCGCAGCTTGCTTTGATTCTCTTATGCTGAATAGGCTCTCCTATGGGGGGAAAAATGATTTTGTAATTAAAGATTAAATTGTGGTATATATACACGTTAGCATCTTCTGCATTTTTAAATGTTCATTTTTGCGATGCTAATTTCAGGTATTACAGATTTTATATGATGACTGTATAAAAAATAAGTGGAATAAAAAGCCATTATCCATTTTAAATTCCGGAATTACTAATCCAGTCTCTTCATTTACCTTTAAGGATATCCATTTTTAATTTCTCCCCATGTACAGATGGAAAGTAGTTGAGTGATGACATTTTTTCAGGGTCCCAGAGTATGGTTTTTTTCATAGGCATGTGGCTTCATGGCCAGGTATGATTTTGTTTCTGTTTCTGAATATTCACAGAGTTGAACCAATGTTGTTACAGTTTTGCAGGAGACATTTGACTTGAGATAAGGCTTGGAAAATTAGATGCCTGAGATGTTATCAATACTTGAAATTCTTTTTTTTTTTTTCTCCTCCTAAGTTTAAATTAATTGTGCTATGTTTATAAACGTTATGCCAAGTATGTTTGTTGGATTTTCTGCTTCCTTAGATAAGTAAGGAGTGAAAGTTCCTTGAGTAGTTGTTATCGCCTCCTTTCCATATAGACCATCCTCGTTTCTCTCTGTTGTATACCAACAACCGAAAGAGCATGTGGTTGATGGAGTTGGTAACTGCTTATAACTTTTAAGGTTATGAATGTGATCCCTACAATACGGATTTTTCTATAAATTGTTCCATGTAGCTTTCCAAACGTCCAGGCAGAGCAACTGAAGTGTTCATCTACCTAATTCTATATACAAGTAGACGTGAAGACTTATACTAGATTTTTATAGCTTAAGGAAGCAAACAGCCTGTGATCTCCATATTACTTTAATGCTGATTGTGACATTATCTTGCTTTATGTGTGTTTTTTTTTTTTACTGCTACTGTACTTCTTCCACCATATAACCTTAAGTTAAATTGATTGTTCACAGTTAGCGATTAAAAAAGTTTTACAAGTTTAGACACAGGTCTAAATAGAAGAAATTGAGGACGTAATTGTAAGGCAGATTACATCCACATATTGATTGGTATTAAAAACTTGGTGCATAGCAATTTGTCGATTATAAAGTAGGGTCTGTACATGAAAAAGAACATTAACTGTTAAATAATAGTGTATACAGAATGAAATGACATCTACAGGAGAAAAAATTTACATTTAGCAGTGTTAAAAGGGCTTTTTCAGTATAGCATGGATGAAAATATGAACTGAGTTATTCTTCTAGACATCCTTTCATTTACGGATCTTCTAGTTTGTTGGGAGCAAATGACTTTTCAGTAGGAAATGGTTACCAGTCGTCCAAATGATCGCTAACTGTCATGCTCTGCTGTGGGGTATTAGAGTGAAAATAAGTAAAGCTACAGACTATTTAGAACCTGCAGCTGCTGGAAATTGGGTGGCCGGGTACTGCAGAAACAACGTCAGCGTGTGTGTTCACAAATAAGTTAAGGAACATTTCTGTTTTTCTTACAAGTGTTAACGCTGACAAGCTGGCTAGGGTCCCATTAGTTGGTGTGGGTGGGTGTTTGCTGTCTATATATAAAAACAGAAAAAAGTGTGAGGTGGAATAGTTTCAGAATTCTGCATGTTCTGCTAACAAAGAATGTAAAAACTGAGGGAATTTGAAAATAGTTTAGCAGTTTAATTTCACTAAATAAGAGAATGGTGGAGAAGTTTTGTGACTCTTGTCAATTTAGTCATAAGCGTTGTACTTTCTTAGGAAAAAAGAGGTATCTGAAATAATTATCATCCTATTCATTACTGCTGTGTTTAAACTATATTAAAAATTTGTACTAGTCAGGCGAGATGCAGGTTCCTGTAAAATGGGCTTGAGTAACTGAAGAAGCAGAGTTTAACGGCTGTTTGTGCTAATGTTTATGGTTTGAGCGTCTGGAGGGAAGAACAGTTTGCCATGTATTATGTGTTTTGCGGAAGGGGCGTGCATCGTCTTTCCATTATTCTTGCTCATAAAAAATACTTGTGAAAGTAGAACTGTTTTATGAAACAACTTTGATGTATTATAAGCATGATGTGTTTTTTCATGTATACACATAAACTATAATTATAATAGTAGTTAAATTAGCTTCCTAAGTGGTGAATAACATGGGCTATGTTTTATATAAAATGTTATTTCCAGTTTCTTTTGTAAGTGCACTTTTTGTGCAGCTCAGCAACACTTGCAAAAGGAACACATGTGGAGCCTTAAATATATTTTACCTCAAGTCCTTTATAGATGGGATATAAAAGCATGCCATATAACATAATAAATTGTATGGAAAGGAACCACATGTTTTCCAAGGAGAAAATGCATTCTAGTGATCTGTGTAGTATGTTTATATCCATCTGGCATGCTTTTAATCCTGGTTACTTACCTTACTGTTCTTTCAATTCCAGTGTCATTTGTCAATTTTCATACTTCAGTGAGAGCTGTGTCTACTTTGGGAGGAATTCTTGTGGTTTAGCGTAGATAGGCTTAAAAAAAGCTCCAGCTATGAAGATGCCATAGTTCTACATATAGCTCTGAGCATTTTTTTTTTTAGAGGTGAAATAAAATAAAAGTTCCCTTTCCCTTTGCTGTAGTTGTTACTAAAGCATAGAGCTATATTTTGTTTTTAATGCTCCCTTTCCTCTTTCCACCCAAAAGCAAGATGTATGCCGGATATATGCACATCATTGCTACAAAATCAAAGTCTGACAGTAAGATGCAATGATACAGAATAATGATGGGAAGGGGGAGCTAGCAACCCCCCCCCCTTCCCTTTCCCTAAAAATGGTTTCTTTGTGGGGTTTGTCTCCCCGTGTGACTTCCTGGTGCTCAGATCCTGTGTGCGGTATAATTGGATTGTAGCTCTTTCTGAATACTGTTTTCTCCCCTTGACAGCGTGGGGTAACCTTGGAAATGTTCTCAAGAGCCAGAGCAAGATTTCCGAAGCTGAAAGCGCCTACAGAAACGCCTTGTACTACCGCAGCAACATGGCCGATATGCTTTATAACTTGTGAGTACGCGCGGCAGCTTGCCGGGGGTCGGATCGCCCGCGGGACCTGCGGTGAATGGAGCTATTGACGTAATTGCTGGAGACGGAGGTGATGGGAGCTGTTGCTCAGTAATAGCCATCCCATTAAACTACAGGACCGCAGGGCCTTTTTTTCGTCCGCTTTGTCATCTAGTCGGCGTTCTGGTTTGCAGCAGGCGAATCCATAAGGTGTGGATTCGTATAGCCAAAACCTAGAGACCCATTTAAAGGGTCAGCTTAGGAAGTGCGGATGCGCTGGCGAGAGTCAGGCACCATCTTTTTCTGCCCCTGCCAAAATATGAAACGTGTTATTTAGCCTTCTTTTTTAGGTACTGATATGAGGAGTGGGCCTAATGCTTTCTAGCGTGAGCCAGTACCGATCAGTTAGTTCCAGAGGTCAGAAACGTTAAAACAGTTAAATAAGTTTCTTCTGTGACTGGGTTTAAAGCAGCATAGCTTCAAGAAAGGTTAATTACTAGAATTTAGACGTGTTTTAGGTGGGCAAGAGAGTAAATACCATGAGCAGTAAAACAATTGAGCAGTGGGAAAAATATTTCCCCGCTCGTTAATGCTGCACTAAATCACGAACCCAGACGCTTGCTTTGTGATTGCTTACTCATCTTCTCATGCCGCGTGGCACAGTGCAGAGGGGGGAAACTCTGTGGGTGCCTCATATTTACGTCTCACATACTTCCTGCCCAAAATTACTCCGTTTACTGCTTTTCTCCTGTCCCCTCATGCAATTACCCTCACAACCGGAAACCTCAGAGCTGTCCTCTGTTGTACAATGGACTCATCACCCTTAGTGAAGATAAACTGGTTTTGCCCTGTGTGAGGAGAACAAAAGCCAGATGACTGCCAGTCATTGTGCAATGTAAGCTGTGGAAGAATAAAATCCTGTGTGCAACAGAAAAGAGTGTCTGTGAGAGAAGCAATATGTACAAAAAGTAAATGAAACTATTAACCTCTTTAAAAAAATTATATTCTGCCTCCAAGTCCAGTTTAAAATGGCCATTTGCAATATCTGCAAATTACATTTTCCTTAGGTTTGCATTAACGTTTAAAGGAAAAGTTGCCCATTTCGTTAAAGGCACTGGGAACTTTCCTCCATTTTTTCAAAATAATTTAATGATAGAATTTCTATTCAAAAAAAGAAAATTCTCTCTATCTATAAAAGTATTTTAATATCCAAATTAGTGCACTTTTTATATTAATATATGTGTATACACATATATATGTGTGTATATACATAAACACACACACACAGGTTTGTCTTTATTAGGCAATGGAGAATGTGAACAAATACACCGTTTTTAGGAAACTCTCTCTCATCACTTTTAAAGAAAGAACATAACAAACCCAGCAGGAGATTGTAGGGA